AAAATAAGAAAATTAGTCAAAGTTTTATTATATTTAGAATAAAAAGTATTATAGCTGAACTCAAAAAATAGATATTATCCAATATATCAAATTGATAACCAAACCGGATATTGATACAAAAAAATAATTAGACCAACAATAATATATCCAAAGTCATATGTTTAATTAGAATAATATAATATTTATTAATATAAATTATACATATAAATGAATTCAAAACTAAAACTAAATATCAATAATAAATCTATATAATAATGATTCACTTTTGAAGCTCCTAAGCTATCCACATCAGCAGCCGAGCGGGCCCCGCGTATTTAAATTTTAAAAGTTTATAGTTTTTTTAAAATGACTATGAACAATGAATACACTTTAGCAAAGTGGTATAAGACATTTAATTAAGTCTGCAAGTGTGTGGGTTCAAACCACGTAGCTGTTATGTATTTTAGTTTTTTCGTTTGGATTATTATCATATGGGCTTTTTAGTTTTAATGTTTTCTGTTTTTTTTCCTCTGGACTTATTGTTTAAAGCCCAAAATAGTGGAAAAATCCTAAAGTTTGACGAACTCAAACCCAAAAACAATTAAAAATGGATCAAAAACGAATATCCAAAAAAAAAAAACAAAAACGAGTACAAAAACGAGTCTCACACGGCACTATCATGTCCTAATATATATTTTTACTGTTAGAACATATTTTCTTATATATATTTTCAAAAAATTATGTATGTGAAATAAAATAAATAGTTTTGTTAATTATAAAATAACTATGTAATTTCTCTTTAATTTTTAATAGTTACTATAATTTCATTTTTATCAGACTCCGGCGGATGGATTTCCACAGTCGATGAAGCCGTAAAGAAAAATACCACATTATTCATGAACAAATCCAAACTTACAAAAAAACATATCCAAACCTATCTATTGAAACGCAAAGAACAAATATTAGCTTAAATTAAAGTTATTTTCAAATTGATAAATCGATTAGTACAAATATAAATATTATAAATAAATATTTATATCAAGTTTTGACATCCGATATAAAAACTATTTCCAACATAAAAAAAATATAGATATCTATTTTTATACACTAAAAATTATATTATAATTTAGTTATTCTTATAAACTTTATTTCGCATATAAATAACATTTAACACATTATATATATAATATTTTCACTTTGCACTCTTGCTATATTCTTTCCATTTCATCATTATTTGGTATTATTTTTATAACCCACTAAACCAACAATCGCAAAAAACACAGATCCCGGGCCCGCGCTTGCGCGGAGGTTATGAAGCTAGTTATTATAAAATTTTACTTTTATGAATATTCATACCCATGCATGAGCACGGGAAAATCACCTAGTATATTGTAATTTTCTTTCTCTTTTACATAGATACTCTGTTTTTTTAATAAATTTTTCTATTTTACTCATTTCGTTTCTCCTTGTATTTTTTCACACATTCGTTTTGTTTCTTATGTATCTATCTTTGCATTATTTTTGTATGTCTTTATACACCTCTCTCGCTCTTTTTTTCTTTCTCTCTCTCTCTTAGTTGATCAAATAATCTCAAAATCTCTCAAATTTACATTCACTCTCTCACAATCATCTATGATCATTCTCTTACCCTCGTCCTTAATATGATCCTCAATATTTCATTTTAAAAATCACTTTTTGGTTGCAAAATTTTCATCAGATTTTGTTAAATCTTCTAAACACTTTGAGATAGTATTAATAAATGATTTCTGAATCTATCTCACTTATATTGAGTCTCTCACTTATATTCTTTTTCATCTTTATTATGATCATAACCGACTCTCTAATCCTTATCATCACCATACCTCCCTCTCTTTCTCCATTTTTTACATATTTTTTATTTAGAATTTAATATAAAATCACAATTGACTAACCAAATAAATTCATTGTCAAATTCTCTCCAATCTTCACACTATCTTATCTAACTTTGATTCCTTTGACCAAGATTTTCATTGAAAAAAATAAATATTTTATCATTAATTTTGTTTTTCTTTAATTACTTCATTACATACATACTTTAAGTAAATCTAAATATTTGTATTTCAAAAAAGTAAGTTTGATTAAATAATTATATAACAGAAAATATCTTAATTCTTAAATGATGTGATGTCATTATTTTAGACATAGATTAATATAAACATGAGATTCAACAGTTTTAATATATCAAAATAACATGTTTCTAGTTGTATAAATTTTGTTATAACTTTGTTATCATATATTTTTAAAGTTTATTACACCACAAAAAGTAATTACCATTATTTTAAAATAATTTTATTTTAAAATTAATTTGCGTTATATTTTGCATCTTCAACATTAACAATTTTATAACTTATCATTTATATTTATCTTCCTTGCTCAATTTTTCCTTATGTTGTATAAAAACCTAAAAATAATTAGTTTACAATTATATTAATACATAAAAAATATTTTGGTATACAAATAAAAAATATGTATGTACAAATACAAAATAACGAAGAATACAACAAAAGGTTTTATTATTATTCCCTCATGTTTTTATTTATGTCTCTTTTCTTTTTTTCTTATTAAAAATAAACATGCCAATTTTATTATACTTAAAGGTATATGAGTTATATGAATAGAATATTAACTCTAATCTTGTATTAATATAATGTTTTGATTTTTTGTAATTTTATATTATAATAAACTTTTTATTTATTCATATTTTTTTAAAATGACATACCATATAATTTTCTGTTTTAAATATAAAAATACTTAAATATTTTTGAAAGTGATAACTCAACTATACTATCGACATTTATCTCTGGAAAATGATAGATTTTTTTAAAAAAAATTACATTTGACTGTTTTGCATTCATTGAACATATTTTAAGAATACATATATATATAGTGAGTGAGTATTAAAAATACTATTAGTTTTCTGTAATGTACGATTTTTTATCCACTATTAATAGAAAAAATTAAAATTGTTTATATACTTATTTCTATAATATAATATGTATTTATATGTATATTCTAAATTTTTATAATGGAATATGTGATATTTAATTGTTTCTATAAACAAATTCTATTAATCATATGTATTTAAAATGGTTAATTGTTTGTTTGGTAATATATATTAGATTAGGTAATTCTAGGATTAGTTTCCTTTTAAAAAACTTTAATTAAATAAATAAAAATTCAAATGCCAACAACCAATCAAATTAAGAGAATTAGTTCTACATTGCACCTATGAATGACACGTAAGCAAAATTCATTAAAATGACTTCTCTTTTAATATATAGGGGGATTTTGAATTTTAAATCGCAGCCGATTGTGATGAATATTGTTAGCAATTTAAAGATGGCAAGTATTATTAAATCCTCTCAAAAACTAGTAGTGATGGGCATATGATGAGAAGGAGATTGGCCAAACCTATTAAATGCCAACATAAAAAGAAAACAAAGAAAGTCTCCGGTAAAGATTCTGACAAATAGAGACGTGCAGATTCTCTTGTCTCTCTTCTCTATAATACTATAGTCATGATGTAAATGCATCATAGAGAAGAAAAAGCTTGGGAATGAAACGGACAGATAAAAGGAGACAAAGCAGAAGCTATGAGATGTCTCTTTTAGCTTCAAATGTTAAACCCTCGAATATGGAATACAGCTTTGCAGCATTCTCCTCCTATCATTTCATTCATAACATGTCACATTTATCATAGTACATGAAACTTATTAAAGAACCTTTCCACGCGTTTACGTTTTTTTTTAAAATATTAAAAATGTATATAGGTTTTTCGGTTTCTTGTTTATCAGATTCGTTGAGTCATCTATGTTAAATTTTAGCTAGATTTTGTTCTGCGCAACCGCGCGGGTGTTTGTTTTCGTTTATAGTTAGTTATATAAATATTTTGTTTTTACTTGTAAATTGATATATATTATAGTAATCATATATTTACAATATGTATAGTAAATATTTTTTAAACATAATAATATTATATGGTATGTGTTTTAATCAAATAGATTGTTTCAAATTTTCTATATTATACATGTTTTTCAGACATGTGTTTGTTTCTTTTCTATATTTTATTGTTTGTTAGATTAGTATTTATTTTTTAGATAAATTAATATAAATAGAGCTTAATTAAATATCAGTATACTTTAATTTACAAAGATAATATAAATTTCGAAGAAATTTTTGCTAAAAACTAAACTTATAACTTCATAAATTAATATTATAAAGAATTTTATTAAAAAGAAAAATTTTAAACAATTTCTTTTTTTAAAAAAATATTATTTTAAACAATTTATATGGAAATAAATTTATCTAGTATATATAACGTGTAAATTTTGTTAGGGATAGAAATATTTCATATTACGAATCTGTGATTTTTGTTAATATATTGTGGATGCATTTAACTATTATTGACATATTTCCTTATAAATAATAGAAGATTCCTAAACTTATATCTATTGACATATTTTGAATGACTAAGTTGGAAGGTGTGGGGTAACTTACCAAAACCAATTGTTAAGCGAATCTTTGTTATTATAGATATGATTTTCATAAGATATAATAATGATAAGATTATTAGAGAGTTAATGTAACATGACTTTATAGTAATAGTCCATTTTTTAAAAAAATCACACATAAAGTCAAGTCATGACTTCTGTTTAATATATAAGATATATCTATTTACATACATAAATAGTTTAAACTAAACTTTTGTTTTGAAAAAGGTTTAGTTTAAACTAAACTTCAATCGTTTTAAACACAATATCAATGTTGAAAGATCAACTAAACGGAGAAAAATTACACAAGTTTCTGTTAGTTTGTAAGGATTATTGCTTAGAGTTAGAATGTTTACAACCACATGTGCGTTTGATTTCATTATCTTTGCTTTAGGAATGATATTAGTTCTCTCACCAACACTGGCCATACTTTCTAGAGTTTATTAAATTCTAGAGTTAATGTTTTTAAAAGAAACAATTGAACATATAAAATCACACAAAACACACATAATGTTCATACTCAGTTAACAAAACACTTAACAGGCTGATCATACTCAGCATTTTCATTACAACTGCATAACATAAAAACAACCCAAGAAAGAAAAAAACATGGCGGGTGGTGAAATACCATCTCAGCCCCTAGCCACTTCTGCTTTATAACCGGTTTAAACCAAAAGACAGAAGCTTAAAAAAAAGACAATAAAAAGTGATAAAACAAAGGAAACCATCGGTGAAACATGAGGTCCCTTTGCTAAAAGATGCACACAGCACTCTACTAACTAAAACCCTAACCCTTAAAATGACTATAAGAGCCCTTAAAATAAGCCCTCTTCTCCATTATACCCCCAGAGATGAAAGAAGTTTAATGGCTCTTAAAATAAAACCCTAAAAAGCCACAAACCCTCCTTTTCTCTCCCCACGACACTACCACAAACCCTAAACTATATTAGACCGAACTAGACACACTTTCAACGGAACTGACGGCCGGTGAAAGTTTGTCCAAAGGACCAACTAGCAGGAGCAACGTTGTTAGACACGACAATTCTACCATCACTAGCCGTAACCTTAAAGGATAACGCTTGACCATTAAGAAGATTGTTGCTTTGCCAGTTTTGTCCCCAGTTCCTTGACATTTGCTGCCACCTTGTTCTCGAACCTTTAACCGCAACAGAGTGAACATCTCCAGCGCCTCCAACGTTAGTAACCAAGACAAGGTTAAAGTAAGAGTGACCATTGATTGTGAATCTTATTCCTCCTCTTCTCTTACACGGAACCCTACAAATCAAGAAAACAAAACTAAAGTCAAACTTCCATAACAAGCAAGAGAAATAACATGGTATATTAAATTACATAAATTTTGATACTTTCTAACAAAATTCTGAAGACCCATTACAAGAAAATTCTGTCAATTTTTTAATTATTTATTTATAAATTTTGATACTTTTTAACAGAAACAGAGTAACACGGTAAAAGTATGAAGACCCATTACAAGAAAATTGAAATCAGTTTTAGAAAATGTACTTTTAGACAGTTAAAAAAAGTGTGTTTTACCTTCTGTAAGAAACAGGGACAACACCAGCTTTGTAATGAGCAATGCGTTGGAAGATAGGCTGAGAGAGATCAAAATGGCGTAGAGGAGGGTTACACCAACCACCAGCGTTATTAGGGAGAGCGTTGTTGGGAGGACAGAAGTTGGTGGCTGTGACGACAATAGCACCAGGTAAACACCACGCGCCGTCGCTCTGACACCGGATCTCGAAACACGCGCCGCAGCTAAGACCGTTGTTGAACAGTGCGGTACTTAAGGCAGCAGTGTTTGTCCCGTATCCTTGGCTGTAGAGGTTACCATACCCACAAGCTCCACCTGAAGACAACAGAGGCATTTCATTAAAAAAAAATAATAATTGTTTTTATGTGTCCAAATTATATGAGAGGATTCTTTGGAGAAAGGGTGTTTTTAGTGATACATACCCATAGTTCCCGAAGCATCACTTCCACCATAGAAAGTGGCATGAGCGTTGATCCATCCAGCGTCATATCCATGAACAGAAGAGGCCATTGCAGTGAAACACAACATGAAAATTCCCAAAGGACTCATTTTCCCCCTGCATTTGGACAATTATGAAACAAAATTAGTACTGAAGACAATACTAGGGAGAGGTGAGAAAAACAGTTCAAATTGTAGACAGGGTAAATGTGAGAGAGATGTTTACATGAACATTCTGTTTGAGAGAGTGCAGAGCTTTTTGGAGAAGTGAGAAAATGGAATGTGAAGGAGAGAGATGGCTGCTTTGATGGGAGTGAAGAAGAAGGTTGATGGTTGGAGTTGAATTTATAGAATGTTTGACCCTTCATTTACTGTTTTAACCACCTTCTCTTTATTACCGAAACTACTTTAACTTTATTTACTGTGACTTTCTTCCTAGGTTCTCTTTTTACTTATTTAAACATGCAAATAAGCTGTTACATAGGATTTGATTTTTAATTATATTTGCAGCAGAACAATTTTTATTTTATTTTTTAACGATAGCAGAACAAATTTTGAAAATGCGTTATTGTATCTGCTGAATATATTTTTGAAAATGTTTGAAAACTTGATAGTTATTGTATCTGTTAATTGTAGTTACTTAATGTTTGGTTAGTTACATTTTGCTTTCTTGTTCATCGCTTTTACACGTACGTTCCACTAGTGCATTAAATTTTTATCCATTTTTTGACATTTAAATTGGCACCACTTTCAGAGTCTTTTTTTTTATCTTTCAACCAAATTTTAAAATATAGTTTTGACATTACAACTCTATATTTTTTACCAAAGTTTACAAAAGTTTGATTCTCCACCCAAAGCAACAAGAAAAGAAGGCAGGATTCTTTTCTTTCTTGTGATGATTTCTATAGTCTAGAGGTGTGTTTTAAAAAAAATACGTGTTAGAAGGTGCAAACCTTTCAGTTGAACAAAAAAAATAAAGAAGAGCGCAAACCTTTGAAATAAAATCACGAGACTAATTTTCAAAAAAAAAAAAAATCACGAGACTCACATAAATATTTTTTGAAGAAAGAGAAAGCACATGGGTGGGAGACTTGCAGGCGGTTTTGGTGGTTAGAACTTTGGACGCGTGTGGCTCTTCTTCTGCGCCTTTCTTCCTTTGGTATCTTTATGGGCCATCTCTACTTTTTTTCTCTCCCTCTTTAACAAGAGATATTAGGTGAAAACAATAATCTGTCAAGAAACACACATATAGTTTTCGCTTAACCAAAAAAAAAAAGTTGCATATGTTTAGTTGTTTACTAATTTGTGAGTGTGGAATGCATCTTTAGAACCTCTAAATTAGAGGTAACAAATAAAATGGGAGAATGGTTTTATAATTTGAATCCGTTAGTTTTTTGTTTTCTGAAACTTTTGAATCCCTTAATTATACTTCAAGCCAATAGAAAAAGATTCGGTATTAAAAACTCTTTTTTTGGTCAAACCAAAAACTCTTATTTTTCTTCATCTTTGTTGAATGCATCTGTAGTTTGTTTTTTTCCACTTGAAAAATAATCCAGGACGACAAATTTTTACTCATTTTGGTTTAATTTATTGAAATAGCTCTTAATTTGTTTTTATTCTAAGCATTGTCCAGTTATTATACCCATAAATTATCATGTAAACTTTCAATATTGAATATATTCCCTCTATTTCAAAAATTTAAATATTTTAGTTTTTTTACACATATTGAGAAAAAACATAAAATTATGATTACCAATGCATCATTTATTATATAACAATTCCATATATTTTTTAATCAATAGAATTATAAGAAATAAATTTATTTTTTGGAATCTACAATTTTTCATTAAATTATACATTGAAATTGTAAAAAATACATTTTTTATATTTATAAATTGGATCTCAACAATTAGCCTACATAAAGATAAGGTAATACAATTTTATGACAAATCAAAAACTTATATACTTATAAAGGAACATAAAAGCTTTAGACTCGAATAATTGTTAGTACTATCATTCTTTTTACAATGTAAATAAACTGCTAGTATCATTTTGCAGCATATTATCAAATTAGCATTCGTAGATTCGAAAAGCAGCACGGTTGGGTCGTCAAATTCGAGAATAATTGACACCTATTGCATAAAAGCATGCACATCGTTTTAAAATATTAACAATCGTATCTTTTCCAAGGCTGCGTTACGATTAACGATGCCTACTATGATTTGTTGTCTGGAGCCTAGTCATTAACACCGTGATATTTTGGGGAAAATCATGTTTATATTATATGAAGTTAAGAACCATGATCACAGTTACCGATGTGGTCAAAACAATTTTACAGCGAAAATTTAGTTTCATTCTTCACCCATCAATAAAAATGAAAAGAATTCGGCTTCCTCAAAAAGCTGCTAAAATTCGTTTGCTTAAGTCTTTTTGCAGTATTTGCAGTCTTTGATTAAAAAAAAAAAAGAGTTCTTAAGTATTTTATCTTTCCTTCATAAAATATTTTACAATAATAACATACAACCCATGTTTTTCTCTGACATTTGTGTTTTTTTACTGTTGGTCCAACAAAGCTTTGACTGTGAAGCTGTTATACGCCACTTATACCACAACCAAAGATTCATATGTTTTTTTCGAAATAAATATGGTAAAGTAACTAATTACTAAAATAAAAGTGTTTAAATTATGTTATCACTCTAACGACCACTAACCGCTCAACTACATTCAAGATTTCCAAAGGCAGCCTTTTGCTATTCCTCTTCTTTTAGAGTTATTTTCATCATAGGGCAGTTTCAAGTTTTTTATTACAAAATAGAGCAGTTATTGCTCCTAAGATAGTTTTTTATAACTACAAGCAACTAAAGAGTAACTAAATGGATCCTATAATTAATCTCATTTTTTCTCGTTCTCTATCACAGGAACAATTTTAAAAGTTACAAAACGAGAAAACTCATAGATCGTAATCTGAATAAGATGATGAGGAACAAAATGAACAATCTTGAAAAATCCCAAGAAAAAATCTGGAAAACAAAATGAAGAACACGATTACGGTTCCTCTGTTTCTTCGCCATGAATCAACACGACCAAGCTTCTTCCTCCACACCGTGCTCTTCAACTCATCTGCCTCACGTTGTGATAGTAGTAGAAAAAATAAGCAAAATTTACGTTTTTGTTGTAGAAACAGAGTAATTTTGAACTTAGAATAGTGTCTTATATGATATTTTATAGGTTTAAAGGTATAATAAACAACAAATATGAAGAAAACTGATGATTCATGTGAGAATAATGACTGGCGGCCATAGAGAGAATTTGCAGAAAACCCTAATTGATTTTGGGGAAGATGAAGTTAAAATTACAAAAATGCCACTCATTAAAAATAATTGGATGATCACGTGGATGTGTACATTATGTTAGTGTACACATGTCTGTGTACACGAGTACATTGGATGACCACGAAGATGTGTACATAATTTTAGTGTACACATGTACATATTAAAGAAATAAATTTGTCTTTGTAGGTATAGACATGGAGCGTAGTTTATGTTAATTAAACAACATGATTATATATGTACATGTGTACAAGATTACATGTGTACAAACCGAACATGTGTACCTCTTTGCATATACATATACATGATACATGTAGCAACTTAGAGTAGTATCAGTTTACCAATAAATATGTACATATACATGATTGAACCTGGTTGAACTTAGAGTATTAACAATGTGTACACATAATGTGCTATCCACATGTGTACACATAATGTGCTATCCACATCAAATATAATCACTGTATACACATATATTTCATTGTATATGTGTACATCTTCACATATGATATAAAATAAAATAAAAGAGTAAGATATCACAATGTTTCGAAATGTCCATGTGTACGTTATTGACAAAAATTGTTTATAGTTACAAATGTAAAGACAAATACGAGTATCCATGTGGAGACCTTATTTCATGTACACATTTTGTATTGTCCACATGAATAAATTATCTATTTTAGTGGACATTATGATGCACATTATCAATGTGCTTGTCGATACCTTAGTTCTTGAGTGTAAGAAAGTACAATGATAAATTCATTGTGTACATATTTCAGTAAACCATAAAAATATGGGGGATACGAAGACATATTTACTAAGATACACTAATAACTTAGATACCAGTGATATATTTAGTTTGGTTGCGTAATGATCTAATTACAAACCTCATTGTTTGATTTTGTTTGTTTAAGGTTTGATGTTCTTGGAAAACTTCGTTAGGGTGTACACAAACAAGAGTGTACATGTGTACAAAACAAATAAGTTGCGTGTACAAACCTTAATTTTTTTGTTTTTTTATTAATAATGCAAAATTACGAAAATAACCTTGTCTTCTTCCTTGGACATTGTCGGCCATAAACCCTAATTGCTGCATCTCTAACCTATTTTTCTGATTCTTTACACTCTCCATTTGTTTTAATGTCTTTTGCCTAGATGTGATAGATTCCAATTTTGGTTCAATTACAAATTTCATTTCTCGCCAGATCTCGTTGACAAAACGAAGAGTCAGCTGAGCAGAGACATGGCGACTGAGAACATCATTTGGAGATGGAGAGGTCATGGGCTTGAGCCACGCGACGAGACGCGACGAAGAGTAATGACCACCGGTGGACGAGAGCTCACATCGACAACATCTTGGATGGAGGAGCTGAGCACGAAGAGGAGGAGATAATAACACAATGGTTGAAACAAAATCTGAAGAAATAGATTTTATTTTACAAAAAAAAAAAGATGAAGAAGATGAAGAAGAACGAGATATGGATCCACTTTGTACTTTTTGTTGTTAAGAGCTTATGTTAAATAAACTAAAAATATATATTAAATTTAGTTAAAGTAGTGGATACTTAACTGTAGGTTAATTTAGTTGGTTTGTAACAAGAAAATGGATTTAGTTAAATAAAACTACCCTAGTAGCAACAACTGCCCTATTGTGATAATAAAAACTTAAAACTGCCTTAGGATGATATATTTTCCTTCTTTTAAGGTGTTTGTCTATAACTTTATTAGATATCATCAACACCGTTTATTTATAATTAGCTTTCAACGGCCAAGATTGAACGCATGCTGCACGTCCACTGATGATTCCTTACTGTGGTTGTATGGCGCAAAATTCGTGTATTAACGGAACTGCTATTACTTTTGTATTCAGCCTAATTTAAATTTAGGATAGTGTTTTTTTTTTGTGTGAATATTAAAATTTATACTCCCTCCGTTTTCTTTTATTTTTATTTGACGTTATAGCAATCTTCACACAAATTAATG